ATAAATTTAAACCCCAAACTTGCTTGAGATGGGGCTTTCTTTTTTTTTCCCACCCAGATTCTGGTCTGTGGCAGATAACCTTATTGTCCTTCCTTACACTAGAAGGTCAACTTTTTCTAAGCTAACTTTTTTTTTTTTTCCTACTGGGGATGCAGTCCTTAGAGGGTCTTGGTTTATGTGCAGGGTCTCAGTTCCAACTTCCCATTCCTCATGAAAGATCATTTCCAGGGTTTGCTGGCACTGAAATCCAAGCCCACAGTTTCCCCAGACTAGATACAGTATTGACTCACACACTACCACTATGGTTACCAGGTCCTTATTTATTTAGGGTGAGAGGTGAAGGACACCCAATGTCCAGGGACATCTGTTAGCTTAAAAAAACATGTTTCATATATTTACCCAGCAAATAGTTGATGCTCATTAAATATCTGAATGAATCAATTACAACTAAGAAGTGGTGTTTACAATACTAATAGAGCCTATATAATATTTAGATTTTAAATCATTTAAATTTAATTTTCAAATAGGTAATATATGTACATGGTTCCAAATATAGAAGTCATTAAAGGGTTTATAGGAAAATACTTCTATTCTGGGCTTGTATGCGAGCTCCACACTTCCTCCCTTAGGCAATCAACATTCACTTTTGTGTATCTTTCATTTACTAGCAAATATGTAAAGATATATTCATGGCAGCACAGTATATATACTGTTCTTCACTTTACTCCTTTCACTTAACAATATATCTTAGAGATTTTTTTCATATCAGAACAAAAAGAAAATATAGCTTATTTTGAAGCCAGTCAGAAAGACCTTCGAATAATGTCAACCCTTTTACTATTCAGAAATGAAGTTTACACACATCAAATTAAATGGACACATTCCCACATAGGTAAAGGCATTTACCCCTAATGGTTAACTATGGATGACAGAATGACTCAGCTACATTCTCAAGGGCATATTTAGTCTGGTGTAACTGTTTCCACAGTTTCTGGATGGAGAAATGAAAGGAAAACACAACACATGCCACAGAGAAGGCATTAAAAAATGTCTACTGAATGAAAGAAGGATTGAGGGGATGGAAATAAGAGCTAATAATCTGCTTTCTTTTAAGGCATGCCACACATTCCCTAAACTTGTGTATGTATAAACTAAAGAGTAGTTTTTTAAAAAGGTTTTTGTTAATTATTTTGAATTAGAGGACAACTGTTTTACAATATTGTGTTGGTTTCTGCCCTATTTCAACATAAATCAGCTATAGGTATATGTATGTCCCTTCCCACCTGAGCCTCCCTCCCACCTCCCACCCCATCCCACCCCTCTAGGTAGTCACAGAGCATCGGATTTGAGTTCCCTGCATCTGATTCAATCTCTCACTTTAAATTTTTGATCCAATGAAACTTGTTTAAGAAGAGAGAAACTAAAACACATTTTCCACATATGAGGAGTTTAGAAGGACTAGGATATTATTTCAAGGACAGTTTTGTTTCCAGCTGAGGATTAACAGAGCATTTAACGGCACTTCCCTGTCTCAGAGGGTAAAGAATCTGCCTGCAATGCAGAAGAGCTGGGTTCAATCTCTGGATCAGGAAGTTCCTCTGGAGAAGGAAAGGGCAATCCATTCCAGTGTTCTTGCCTGGAGAATCCCATGGACAGAGGAGCCTGGCAGGCTACAGTCCATTGGGCTGCAACGAGTTGGACACGACTGAGAGACTAACACTAATGATATGAGCATTTAACAATACGATCAATCTCCAATAAAATTAACACAATATCTTTTTCTTCTTAGATGAAGTGTTTCCTTCCTTCTGCTCCTGATAAGCAGATCTTGCGTTCTAAGCAGTTCTGTTTCGCTTCACTAGGAAGCTGAGTGGTCCCTTCACACCTGCACTTTGAGTTGTCAGTCACCATGGTCCCCAGACCCTAATGCAGCCCTTGAATGGCTCACTGAAAGCTGATGAACCTCAAGCATATTCATAACAGTTCCAATGAAGTCCCACGAATCCACTGACACTGCTTATGCAACAGACTTTTAAAAGAATTTTAGTGTGTGGAACTCCCTCCTTTTCAAAGGAGGTCGCATTCGTGGAGTTGTCTTTTTAAGCAGAGTGGTGCACTCTGGACATTATGGCACATATTTTTGAAATAAAAGTCAGTTTGCTTCTTGAAGCCAGGCATCAGGAATAAGGCACAGCTCCGAATTTTTTTGCTGAAGGCCTCACAACTACTGTTGGAGTGTCTGACGTAATGCCTGGTTCAAACAGGTAAGGAGAAAGCTGAGAAAAATTTTTTCCTAGATTGAAAATCAGAGTTCAGAGTAGCTAGGATTTGGTGATGTCAGAGGAGCTATATGACAGACTTATATGAACATGTTTGCAGAGTGAGAGATGTGAGCACTGTGGAAAGTGGGTGGGGAAGGCATTTGTTTTTCTCTCCTTTCCTGGTAAATTTAGAGATAATGGGTTTGAATTTCTGGCTCCGTTAGGTAAGTTTACTAACTCTTTGAGTTTTGATGTCCTCATTTATAAATTGGAGAAAACAATTTCAGAGGGCTGTTTATAGAAAGGAGCCTTGAGATTTCTTGAATACTATGATGGGCACACCTTCCAGAGGTATTTGGTAACATAAAATGTACATGTATGGATATGTGTGTGTGTGTGTATATGCAACTTAACTATTTTAAGTACAGAAAAAGAATATAATGGCTAATAAAACAAGTTTTGGGCTATTACAAGTAACGCTGCAGTGCATGTTCTTAATTATGTTTCATTATACACATGTTGGGGAGTATTTCCAGGGAATATACTAGAAGTGAAATTGCCAGGTTGTAGGGTATGTGTACCGGTAGCTTCAACTTCACTGGATTTTTGTCAAATTCACCTCCAAAGTGATGCAATAGTTGATGTTCCCAATGACAGTATGAGAGTTCTTGTTCCTCCACATCCCAGCTCTGTTCTTTGCACATGTTGTGTGCATGCTATGTGTATGCTAAGTCACTTTAGTTGTGTTCGACTCTTTGTGACCCCATGGACTGTAGCCCACCAGGCTCCTCTGTCCATGGGGTTCTCCAGGCAAGGATACTGGAGTGGGTTGCCATATCCTCCTCCAGGGGATCTTCCCGACCTAGGGATCGAACCTGCATCTCTTGTGGCTCCTGAATTGCAGGCAGGTTCTTTACTGCTGAGCCACTGGGGAAGCCCTGGTGCACATATTTACATGTTGACAATCTGTGTGAACCAGTCAAGTTGCTCAGTCATGTTTGACTCTTTGCGATCCCATGGACTGTAGCCTACCAGGCTCCTCCATCCATGGAATTTTCCAGGCAAGAGTACTGGAGTAGGTTGCCATTTCCTTCTCCAGGGGATCTTCCCGACCCAGGGATCAAACCCAGAAGTTATATCTAAATATTTTAATCTGCATCCCCTAATTATTGTTGGGAGACATTTCTCCAAGGGATTCTCATTTTTCTGTACATCGTGACCAGAGGTAAAGATAGCTTTTATGCTAGACTATCTTTCAAAAGATGTTAATATAGTGAATGACCTTTGTCAACGGAGGTACTGCTTCCTTCTAGAATAGAAGGCAGGTTTGTTTATTGTCCAGTATAAGAAAGACATGTGTTCTCCAGGGTAAAGGTTGGGCAGGTCTGCTGGCAGCTTATTATAAAAGACTGGAGTTCCCTAAGCTTAGGATTTCTAAGCTATGACACTATGTGTCCAAGATCTGCTGGGGCTTCTCTTTGTAGCTCCCATGGGATTCAAGGGGAAATGACACAAACATGAACCTCATGCTGCTTACTGTGCTGTGAACAATAGTCTTTTTGTCTCTGATCCATGAGTTTTGTGTCTTTTGCCAGCATCCATAAAACTGCATCAGGCTAACTGGTAAGGGTTCAAGTTGTGTATAATCTCATACTATTCATAGTTCTTGGAAGTTATTGGTGAGGGTGAGTATCTCGTTTATTGGTTATTTGGCTCTTCTCATTTGTGAGCTATCTGTTTTTTGGGGTCTATTTTTTCCATTTGATTGTTTCTTATTGACTGGGAGATGTTCCTGATATATTCTAGTTTAAATATTGATGGCTGTCTTTTATCCAACTGTGTATGTATTTGTGTGTGTGTGTATGTATTTGTGTGTGTGTGTATGTATTTGTGTGTGTGTGTATGTATTTGTGTGTGTGTGTGTGTGTGTGTGTGTGCACGCGCACGCTCAGTCACATCCAACTCTTTGCGACCCTACAGACTGTAGCCCACCAGGCTCCTCTCTTCATGAGATTCTCCAGGCAAGAATACTGGAGTGGGTTCCCATTCCCTCCTCTAGATGATCTTCCCGACCCAGGGATCAAACCCACATTTCCTGCATTGCAGGAGGATTCTTTACCCACTGACCCACCTGGGAAGCCCTTATTCAACCACGTTCATATCCAAATAGAATAAAAGTAACAACACTTTTTCTAGTACGTCACAGTTTTCAAAGTACTTTATTATCTCTTACCTCACTGAAATTACCCAGTAGCCCCTTAAGAGCCATATTACTTCCATTTTACAGATTATCCTCTATTTTACAGATTAAGTGAAAATTACTTCACGAGGCTAATCAGTTAATAGAAGAAATAAATTTAAAAATCAAGTCTATTTTTCTTCACTTCAATCACATCAAGAAAGTATTTCTTACAGGAGAGATTCTAGCTCCTAAGTAACAATGATTAGAATCTTAGTTTTCACTGATAATAACAGGAATGAAATAATGAAGTTTCAAAAGGGGATTGGAGGAACCTTCATTTCTGTTGACTGTGTAGAAATGCTTAATTCACTATGAATGTGTCCATAAGAATTTTAACATACAATCAACTTTAGAGGTTATTAATCTGTTTTTTAAACATAAAGTTATTGTAGCTCTGCTAGTGGTTGGCATTTTTCCAAGCACTATGTAGGGTTGGACAAAGCTGAGATAAGCAAATAAAGTCAAATATAATTAGTAATAATTTAAAAACATCTTACCATAATGTAGAGCTGTTTGACCTTCATTGTCCTATAAAAGAAACAAAGAATCTAAGTTATTGCAAAAGTATGAAAGTATATAAGCTATAGCAAATATCTGATATACCAAAGTTCCACAGGTTTACTGGCGACAGGAAAAGAAGCCAGTTCTTTGAGCCTCACAGTAACCTCTGACCAAACTCTCCATCTCGGAGAAAAGGAGAAGGTTGAATGGTAACTTGTGCACTGCAGCAGCCACAGAGTGACAGGATGACTAGATCTGCAGATATTAAACCAAAGGGAATCCTTTAAAATGTGACAGTTTGATTACCCAATTAGTGGCAGAAAAACGGCCATTTATCATGGCCAGTATTATGATTTTTTTTTTAAAGTACATTCCCAAAATCTATCTAAGAAGTCTATGATTTATAGTAAGGATTAGTAGCTTTTTAAACCCATTTTCAAAGATTCAGATTCCAGGCTTATAACATAAAGTTTCCTAGTCATATCAAATATCATACAGAAATGTGATTTCAAGGCACACAAAGTCTCTACAAGTTGTTAAGTCAAAAATTCCCACACAGACTCAGGAAAATCCAACTGTTCAGTTAAATTTTTATTCCTTTAAAATCAAAATATTTTAACTATATAAACTAATTATCGATGAGTATTTTTTCACGATGCTATTTCTTTTTAATTCAATTTTTATTTTACATTGGAGTACAGTTGTTTACAATGTTAGTTTCAGCTGTACAGCAAAGTGATTCAGTTACACATATGTCTATTTTTCAGATTCTTTTCCCATAGGTTATTATAGAACATTGAGCAGTTCTCTGTACACACAACAGGTCCTTGTTGGTTATCTGTTTTATATATAGTAGGATGTATATGTTAATCCCCAAACTCCTACTTGATCCCTCCTCCAATCTCTTCTCTGTGGTAACCATTAAGTTTGTTTTCAAAGTCTGAGTCTGTTCTGTTTTATAAATAAATTCATTTGTATAAGTTTTCTAGATTCCACATATAAGTGATATCATATGATTTTTGTTTCTGACTTCATCTAGTATGATAATATCTAGGTCCATCCACGCTGCTGCAAATGGCATTATTTCATTCTTTTTTTATGTCTCAGTAATATTCTACTATACATATATATCACATCTTCTTTATCCATTCCTCTGTCAATGGACATTTAATTTGCTTCCATGTCTTAGCTATTGTGAGTAGTACTGCAATGAACATTGGGGTGCATGTATCTTTTTGAATTGTGGTTTTCTCTGGATATATGGTCAGGACTGGAATTGCTAGATCATATGGTTGCTCCCTTTTTAGTATTGAAAGGAACCTCCATGCTCTTCTCGATATTGTGTGCTCAGTTATGTCTGACTTAGGGGCCCCATGGTTGTAGCCTGCCAGGCTCCTCTGTCCACCACTTCCTACTCCAGGGGATCTTCTTGACCCAGGGATTGAACCCATGTCTCTTGTGTTTCCTGCATTGGCTGGCAGCCTCTCTACCACCAGGGCCACCTAGGAAGCTTCGTTCTCCAAATAGTAGTTGTATCAATGTACATTCTCACCAACAGTGTAGGAATGTTCTCTTTTCCTCTGCATCCTCTCCAGCATTTATTATTTGTAGATTTTTTTGATGGTGGCCATTCTGACCCGTGGGCTTCCCAGGTGGCTCAGTGGTAAAGAATCAGCCTGCCAATTCAGGAGACGCAGGAGACACAGGTTCAATCCCTGGTCAGGAAGACCCCTTGGAGGAGGAAACAGCAACTCACTCCAGTATTCCTGCCTGGAGAGTCCTATGAATAGACGAGCCTGGTGGATTACAATCCATAGAGTCACAGAATTGGACATAACTGAGCACACACATATGCATTCTGACCTGTATGAGGTGATACCTCTCTAGTTTTGATTTTCTCTAATAATTAGCAACGTTCAGTATTTCTTCACATGTTTTTAGCCACCCATAGCTCTTTCTTAGAGAAATGTCTATTTAGATCATTTGCCCATTTTTTGATTGGTTGTTTTTGGTTTTGTTTTTGATACTGAGTTGCATGAACTGCTTGTATATTTTGGAGATTGATCCTTTATAAGTTGCTTCATTTACAAATATTTTTTCCCATCCTGTGGGTTGTCTTTTTTGTTTTCTTTATGGTTTCCTTTCCTGTGCAGAAGCTTTTGAGTTTAATTAGGTCCCATTTGTTTATTTTTGCTTTTATTTTCATTACTCTGGGAGGTGGACCTATAAAGGTATTGCTGTGATTTATGTCAAAGAGTGTTCTTCCTATGTTTTCTTCTAAGAGTTTTATAGTATCTGGTCTTATATTTAGGTCTTTAATCCATTGTGAGTTTATTTTTGTGTGTGGTGTTAGAGAATATTCTAATTTAATTGTTTTACATGTAGCTTTCCAGTTTCCCCAGCATCATTTATTGAAGAGAATGTGTCTGTGCTGTTGTATAGTCTTGCCTCCTTTGTCATAGATTGACCATACCTGTGTGGGTTTACTTCTGAACTTTGTATCCTGTTCCATTGATCTACGTTTGTTTTTGTGCCAATATTATACTGTCTGTTTTTTTTTCCATTTATTTTTATTAGTTGCAGGCTAATTACTTTACATCATTGCAGTGGTTTTTGTCATACATTGAAATGAATTAGCCATGGATTTACATGTATTCCCCATCCTGGTCCCCCCTCCCACCTCCCTCTCTACCCGATCCCTCTGTCTTGATGACTGTAGCTTTGTAGTATAAAGTCAGGGAGCCTGATTCTTCCAGTTCCATTTTCCTTTCTCAGAATTGCTTTGGCTATTCGGGGCCTTTGTGTTTCCATGCAGATTAAAAAAATTTTGTTCTAAAAATTTTGTGAAATATGCCATTGAAAATTTGATAGGGATTGCACTGAATCTGTACATTGCCTTGAGTAGTATAATCATTTTGACTATATTGATTCTTCCAATCCAAGAACATGGTATATCTTTCCATCTGAGCAGTGCTATTTCTTAAGCTGAGGGCACATGATCACATTACATGAGCAACACATAATCAGGATGATATACAGGTGGAAAGTAGGATTTAGATTAATTTGATAGGCATTTAGTATGTGGATGGCCATTCTTGAGCCCCTGGTAATTAAGAATAAATGATTAACCATTATTGCAAATGAGACAGAGTGGTATTATGATTTAAATCAACTACTCTTAGACAAACCATATCTATCTTTCCCATTTCCTAAAAACTGAATATGGGGGTTGGTTCCCAGAAGATTTTGGGTGTGGTTCTATTTAATCTCCTAAGAAGAAAGGCAAAAAGCTGCCACAGAGAGCTTATTTTCTGGTTCAGATGGGTAGTTAGAAAAAAGTAATTCCTTAACACCTAGAGAAGTTCAGCAGGGATAACAGCTGATGGGAAGAAGACAACTTTGAGGCAATATAGTTTGATTAAATTGTTTTCTCGCCAGAAATTGGAGTTCTCACTGGATTTGGCAGTAACATGTGGGTGGATAGGTTGGAGGAGATATGAAAGATGTAATTTTTAGGAACCTTATGAGTAAGGTAGATTCAGCTGAGGTGCAGCACTGCTTATATTTGGGATGTTCATTATGTATCATAAGGATAATAAACTCTAAGAGTAAAAGATGGACAGCAGTACCATGAAGTCAGAAAAATGAGATTATTTTTGCCTACTTTCTTTCTTGTATTTTTCAATATACAAGAAATATACAATATTTCAATATACAATACAAAATTTCAATATACAATATACAAGCAAAGCCCCTACTTTGCTCCTAGTTCCTCTTTGCCTTGCCCTGCCCTTGAGATTAATGACAGGTAGGGGAAGAGAGCTGAGGCAGCTACAGTAAACAAGATCCAAGAGATGATAATGAGGGGTGGCACGACAGTGTGAAGTTGTGTTCCTGAGTATCTGGATTCACCTGGCTACAGCCAAGGGCAATTTTGAAAGAACTGCATTGCCCACTATGGCTTTAAACTTGTATCTGCTAGTTTCTGAAGGGTAAATATTGTATTATTCCAGTTGTATGAACTACTTAGGAGTAGTTAAAATTCAGACAGACAGAAATAGAACAGTGGTTACCAGGGGCTGCAGAGAGAGAGGAATGAGGAGTCACTGTCTAGTGGATACAGAGTTTCAGCAGGGGGGGCTACCGTCTATGGGGTCCCACAGAATCTGACACGACTGAAGGGACTTAGCAACAGCAGCAGATGAAAACATTCTGCAGATGGATAGTAGTGACAGTTGCACAATGTGAATATACTTATACCACTGACTTTACACTTAAAAATGCTTAGTTAATTGTATCATGCATATCTTAGCACAATTTTTTTTAATTAATTTATTTTAATTGGAGGCTAATTACTTTACAATATTGTAGTGGTTTTTGCCATACATCGACATGAATCAGCCACAGGTGCACATGTGTTCCCCTTCTAGAACCCCCCTCTCACCTCCCTCCCCATCCCATCCCCCAGGGTCATCCCAGTGCACCAGCCCTGACCACCCTGTCTCATGCATGAATCTGGACCAGCGATCTGCTTCACATATGATAATATACACGTTTCAATGCTACCCTCTCAAATCATCCCATCCTTGCCTTCTCCCACAGAGTCCAAAAGACTGTTCTTTACATCTGTGTCTCTTTTGCTGTCTTGCATATAGGGTCATTGTTACCATCTTTCTAAATTCCATATATATGTTAATATACTGTATTGGTGTTTTTCTTTCTGACTTACTTCACTCTGTATAATAGGCTCCAGTTTCATCCACCTCATTAGAACTGATTCAAATGCATTCTTTTTAATTGCTGAGTAATATTCCATTGTGTATATGTACTACAGCTTTCTTATCCATTTGTCTGATGATGGGCATCTAGGTTGCTTCTATGTCCTGGCTATTGTAAAGAGCTTAGTACAATTTTTTTTTTTAAAAAGAAAGTAAAAAGTAAAAGACGTGGATCAAAAACTAAAGTGGCATTGTTCTCCACTTTTTGGAGAAAACTGGTGTGTGGTAGGTGAGAATGAAGTATTCACA